AACCCGAATTCCAGACCTGGCGTCTAGAGTAAGTGGAGCGGTGCCGCTCTCAAGAAATGGCTGGTTTCTAGAGTGGTGGAGCGAGACCCAAACAGTTCGCTGCCTTTGCACCTCTGTTTCGGCGACATGGTCCTCCCTCCCTCCTGGCTGCGCCTCCGCGCGGCGCCGTACACAGTGTGAGTGCGTGCTATTCTTGCGAGCGCATGGGCCGTGCTATTCTTGCAAGCGCAGGGGCCGTGCTATTCTTGCGAGTGCAGGGGGCATGCTATTCTTCTGTGTCTTGGGACTGGCCACACCACCGTCCAAACAGAGAAAGTACGACTGCATCTGCCCCTAAAAGTGGCAAGATGCATGCCACAGGCATGCACAGGCATGCATCTGCATGCTTCACTATTTATACCAAGGCATGCATATTGCCACTTTTCCGGACAGATGCAGTCGTACATTTTTTTTTTTTTTTTTTTTTTTTTCAAAGGTAAGCTATATTCTTCTCTCATCTATTTCATCTTTCTTGGTAGCACCCATCTATCTCATCCTCTGGTAGTCTATGTATAGTACGAGGGAACACCAACCAACGGGGATCTCTCCCCAGCCCACCGGGTAGGTTGGCACCACAGCTGTGGTGCGAGAGCAAGGCTCTACCAGTCCCTCACCACGATGACGAGGGGAGGGTAGGCATTGCCGATGGGGGAAATCGGCGGTGCTAGCGCAGAGCAATGGCCAGTCACTGCACCTCCCCCTAACCCCGCCCCCCCCAACCCCACATGCCCGTGTCTCATGGCCAATATTGTCGCTGCATAGCAGCCAACAACATCAGCCGAGGTCCTGCCAATGCTGGCTTGGGGGTCCAACGGGTTATCTCTAGCTGGTAGAACACCAAGCTTGCCCACGCACATATACGTGAGTCTGAAAGTCGTGCGGCGAGGCCCAATTTTATCGGCCATGACATGATGTCCGTATATGTATATGTATTCCCTCTCTCCTTACTACGCAAAGAATTCTCTCTCGTTGGAATAAGTCATCAGGTGCTCCATGCAGGAGAGGTGATCATCTTCCATTCCGCCTGCCTCTCCCCTTCTTCTTCCTTCATCGCAGCCTGGTTTACCTCGTGCTTCACAGTCTCACTTTGTGTTTGCTTGTCTACGCTAGCTGTTTGTGTGTGTTTGTCTGTGTGTGTGTGTGTGTGTGTGTGTGTGTGTACGCGGGCTGCAAGGGTAGAGTAAAGTAGAGCAGAGTAGAGTTTCGTCCACTGTGTGTGTGTGTGTGTGTAAGTGGAGGCGGGCTGCAAGGCGCTGGCTTTGTGGCATGCCTCCTCATGAGACCGGAGCGCACCCGGTTGAAACGTAGAGGGGAAGGCGTGCGCGTTTGCGAGCATGTGTACACGCTGATACCTTTGAAATATACTATACTGCTTTGGGTGTAAAGAGCAATTGGCCATTGCTTGTCTTCTATCTTCCTTCATCACAGCCTGCTTAACCTCGTGCTCCACGGTCTCACTTTGTGTTTGCTTGTCTGCCCTAGCTCTGTGTGTGTGTGTGTGTGTGTGTGTGTGTGTGTGTGTGTGTGTGTGTGTGCTGTCATGCTCGATATACACAACTCCGCAAGAACTCCACAAAAAAAAAAAACATGACATCGTGGATTGGGATCCCGATCTTCATTCACCCCTCGGCATCTTCCTTCTTTTCCTCCTCCCCGTTGTGGTGGTGGTGGTCGTCGTCTGCATCATCATAATACTCATCACATGAACGGACATGGCCCGGTAATTGATGCCCGTCAAATAGCCGCTAATTAACATGAAATAGCCGCTCCAATAGCCGCCCTAATAGCCCGCTCAAATAGCCACTAATGAACACATCAAATAGCCCACTGAAATAGCCCGCTCAAATAGCGGCTAGTTAATGCCCATCAAATTGCCGCTGATTCAGATCGAATAGCTGCTAATTACTGCCAATCCAATAGCCTCTAGTTAATGTTTATCGAACAGCCCCTAACGACGCTTATTTATTGCCCATCAAATAGCAGCTAATTAATGCCCCATCTAAAGTAGCCGCTAATTGATGCCCATCAAATAGCCGCTATTCAATGCCCATCAGACAGCCGCTAATCACGAACGCAAATACCTGTCACCCCTGAATGGACAGAGGCGATTAACAAGTAAACGAAACGACAAAATCCACGTCATCCTCGTCAGCATCAGTTTTACGAACTTTAATCCGTCACCATGCTTTCCTACCCCCCCCGCCCCCCCACCA